TGACTATGAATTCATTCTCATTCTGCATCCAGCCTTCTGAGTAATAATAATAGCCCATATTTACGGACTCTTGTTTTGGCCGGGTGTCCCCCAAAGCGAACCTAGAGAAAAGGGGTTTAGGGACCTGGGCACAAGTGAATTACTTTGGAGGTAAATTTAGAAAGTACCAGGAGGGGAGATGGGGCGCAGAGGTGAGAAAGCCAACCATGAATGGGTGGTACGGGGGTGACTGGACTCTGGGCTGTTGGGACCCTCTGTACAGGCCTGTGGAAGATGCCTCAGAATTATCTTCCCCAGAAACACACACAGGGGTGTTTTCCACCTATTCCATCCCTCCTTGGGGGGCTGCTCTGAGGACATTGATTCCCTGCACAGCCCAAGGATGCTCTTTCAGCCTAGAACATTCTCTGGTGGAGAGAGGCAAGTGTTGAAAGAAGGAAGCTGTGAGTGGTCTCAGGAATGATCCACCAAAGTGTAGCGACCTCTGGGGAGGATGAGGGGGAATCTGGCCACTCTATGTTTGCCACAAGTGTTTTTGTCTGTGCCAGGAACACTGCTGGGTACTTTGCACTCATCTCCTGTTCTGATTTCACCTTAACCCTCCCAAGAGGCGGTGTCTATTGCCCACCAGTCTTATCACCATTTTAAATATGAGAAACTGAGATTCGGGGAAGCGAAGGAGTGTGCCGGTGGTCATTCTGAGCAGCTGGAAGGTGAGACCTTGAAACCCATTTATCCGTCTGATTCCGAATCTCAGACCCTAACTGCGGTGTGGGGGCCTCCAGAAAAGCAAGCCCGAGGAAAGGGTCTGGATGCCACCCCGCGGGGGCCATGTCGGGAAGGTGGTAGCAGCAGAGGAAAAGCTGAGTCACTGCACCTGAAATTCTGCTGATCTGACCCATCCGCACACTTTTAGGAAAAACAAGCCACTCTCTTTGATCAGTGCCCAGGGCCATGATGGGCTCAGGTTCAAAAACAACACATCCCTAAAGTGTGGAAGCCCTTTGGGTTCTGGGAAAGTGGGAGAACGGATTTGTTCTTCCTGAAGTTTATTCAAGGTTTCCTCCTCACTGGGTTGCCCAAGCCTCCTTGGGAGAGGCAGCGTGGCAGCAGACCCCTCAACCACACCAACCCTGCAGGGCTCAGGGCAAGGATGGATGGCGCCAGCCCTGTCAGCACATGGCGGGATGCAGACCTTCCAGGAGAGACCTTGAGGAGGGGCAGAGTCCAGACGAAGGCCTCAGTTTCCCTGCAGGTGCACCTTTTGGGTGGCCAGGGGCCGGGGCCTGTTCTAACCATACGAGTGTGCTTCCCAGCTTCCAGCAGCACCAGTGCTGTGAGATACCCAATCAAACCAGTACAGCCAAGCTTAGGACATACCCTCATTACCACAGTACATGTCAGCATTGTATTTAGCCATGAAAAGAAAGAGCAAGCTATGGGATGCTTCGATAGTCACTTAAACTCTTCAAATTTTTAAATACTCTCTGAAATTCTTCCTAGATCTTTTTATCACAAACTTGTGCAGCCAAAGTTTCACATTGATAGTGACTTTAAGATTTTGAAGAGGGACCTTCATGTGTCGGCCAAGAATTGCACACAGCTATTTCCAGCGTAAAACCTGATTTTCTTTGAAAAAAAAAAAAGCTATGTTTGCAGAGGGGGTGGGTAAAAGGAGTGACTTCTAATGAGCATGGTTTTTTGGGGGTGATGATGAAAATGTTCTAAAATTGATTGTTGTGATAGTTGCATAAATCTGTGAGTACACTTAAAACCACTGAATTGTACACTTTCCACGGCTGAATTGTATGGTAGATTAACTACATCTCAGTAAGACTGTTACAAAAAAGAAAGTTACGTTCACAGAAGTATGCTAAAGCTTCTCATTAAAATTTTTGAAATGATTTACTTGGACAATTCATGCCTATTCAAATGTAAAGTCATTTATTATTCATTTCATGTAAATGAAAATAGAATTAGCATCCTATTTTCCCGTAATTATTTTATAGAAAGCAAACATAGGGATGTCCCCCAAATCCTCAGCTTACCCCACCATGCCTGCAGATACGGTTATCATGTATGTGTCACCCTGCAGGAATGGTGGGAATGTCCTGAAATAAAGTCCTTTGGTCCTCGCTACAGGACAGTCAAGGAGATGGAAAGATCAGATGACACTGAAAATATTCACAGCCAGCCTGGCTGGGGCCTGGGCAGTCAGAACAAACACCCCTGGAGGCACTGGGCCCCGGCAGGTGCCCTCAGGTGAGTTAGGGGCTACAGGTTAAACTGCTCAGGTTGGGGAAGCAAACTCCTCCCTCACCTGACCCGTCTCCCCAGACAGGCTGCTGCCCCCAGCCGCTTCCCTGTCTCTCCCTCTCCTGCTCCAAGGAGGGATTTGTTTAACTTTTAACTTAGGCTCAGGGGTACATGTGCATGTTTGTTATATCGGTAAACTGCAGGTCACAGGGGTTTGGTGAACACATTGTTTCATCACCCAGATGATGAACAGAGCAACCAATAGATACTTTTTGGATCCTCATCCCCTTCCCCAACCCGCCCCGCACCTTCAGGTGGGGGTCTGGAGCCCAGCTCACCTGCCGTACCTGGGAAGGCTTTGCAGGGCCCTGCCCGGTCTCGCCATGTCCATCCTGCTGTGAGCAGCTGGGCTCCTGGCTTCTCCCACCGCGTCCCCACAGGCTGATGCTGTCGGTGGTGTGTGCCCCCTCCTGCTCCACCTGTTGGTCCAGACCAACCCCGTGTTCCCCCCTGTTGTCCTTGGCCACCTCAGGACAAGGGAAGGGGCCGGGGGATTCTCTGCACCGTCACTCAGTCACTCTGCGGACCCCGCCATCCAACACCCTCTGGCCTCCCAGAACTGCTCTGCTGGCCAGCGTGGCCAACGGGTGCTCCAAGGCCCAGGCTCAGAATCACTGTCTTTGTCCTCAAGAGGATGGTGCAGGGTGAACACATTCCCTTGAACATTTTCTTTGAAGACAACTTATTGACGAGTGGACGGAGTGGCAGGTCCCCAGCCATAGGAGGAACTCTGGGGTCCACCAGGCCCGACCCGTCCTCTGCCTGCCACTTACGGACCCCTTCAATGAGCCAGGCACGAAGCTAACTAGCCACAGGTGTCTCTCATCTCTTCACAGCTGCTCTAGGAGCGGGGCTTGTTATCCTCATATGAGGAAACCGAGGCACGTGGGGGAGAACTAGCTCACAGATCCAACTCCTGAGTGGTGGAGGCAGGCTAAGAACCCCACTGCCTGCTGTTAACCTGTCCTGAGCGTCCCGAACCAGGTCCCTCATTGTACACTTGCACACGTACACGGCACCCAGAGACACATCGTCACGGGTGACCCCACCTGCACAAAGGTCAGTGCGCAGGGCTCGGATGGCAGAGATGGCTGCAAAGCCACAGCCCCTCCACCTACCTTCTCGCCCTGCAACTGTGATGAGTTGCTGCACTCTATGTGTCTCAGTTTCCTCATCTGTACCCTGAAGATATTAGTACCTGCTGTGCCATATTGTGTTACAAAAATAAGCTTATGTGTGAAAAATATTATGTATTTTTAAAACTTAGATTGTGTGTACAATACCATGACCTGATGCTATGACAGCTACTATTATTAATGCCATTGTTGCCCCTGCCCTGCCACTAGATAAGGTCCTTGTGGCCGGGCCAGGAAGGATGCAGGGAAGCCCAGGAGCTCTGAAGCTCCTGCCCTTCACAGTAATGGAGCCCACTCAGCCACACCTGCTCCTGCTCTCGCTCCCCGAGCTTCCACAGATGAATCCTGCCAGGAAAGGCTCTGCCCTGAGCACCTCCACCCCCACCAACGTGACACATCTTCATGACATCAGTCCTTCTAGGAGTTTCTGCATGTGCACCCAGGTGTACTTACGTATCCAGGCGTCTCTATCACCTGTATTCATGTTATTCTCTGAACTAAATTCTGAGACCAGCATTGGAAGGCAGTGAGCATACGCGGGTGAAAGAAAGAGGCTGGCCTAGGAAATGTCCATCAATTCCCAATGGAATCCTCTCCTTGAGCCCCCTAGGACTGACCATTCAGTGCTATCACCTGGAGGAAGAGGTGTGGAGGGAAGATGCCACCTTCTCCAGAAACACATGGCATGGACAAGCTCTCTCAGTGCTGGGTAGTGTCACGCACATGGCGTGTGTTCTAACTCAATCTCCCGAAAGGTTTACCTCAAAGGATGGAACCCAAAGGTAGTTATTTCCATTTTCATCTCCATTTTACAGATGGGGAAACTGACAGCAGTGGGGGAGACACTTTCCAAAGGTCAAGACAGTGGAGGGGGGCAAAGCCAGCATGGAGAGCCCGCAGGCCGCGCGGAGGCCCTGCGTTGAGCCGTGACATCACACTGCCTCTCTGGCTTTTCTTTGCCAAAAGAAAGAATCCCAGGACCCAGAGCGGACCTTGGAGGTCCTCCAAGCAATTCCCTCCTCTCTATTCTCAGACCACTTGGAGATGGGGAAACTGAGGCACGAGGTGCTTAAGGGAAGTTTCTGAATCTACAAGGCAATCAGAGACCTTCTTTAACCAGCTACACCTAGCTCCTGCCCTTTGGTTCGGCAACCTCTCTGATTCTCTTAGAAACACGGCAGGAAAAAAAGTTCACGCAAGAAAGCGAGCCCAATTTTTTACTTTTTTGTGAGGAGAAGGACTTCATATAGGACGTTGCACGGTGAGCGCATGCACCATAGACGCACATGCACACCCTCTCCCCATCCAGCGAGGCAAGCGGCCAGCTCTAATGATAATACATTTCCTGAGAACGTTCCACTCGCTCTGAAGCACTTCTAATTGTGTCTGGAGCCTTTCCTTCCTACCCCACAGGACGAGCTGGGATATGCCGCTCAGGAGTTTTCTCTCTTGCACTGGCCCGGAGCTGTGCCAGGAGCCTTGGAGACGAGTTGAGGGGGATTCCCGGCTCCCCACATCCCGCCATCTCCCTGGGCTGCATTTTCTCACCTGCAAAATGGGGAGACAGCAACACCTGCCTCCACGTGCAGGTGTTTCTGGAAGGATTCAGTGGATGGCGACTGTGGGTCATCCAGCTGCCATTGGTCAATGAGTCCCAGCTGTTCTCATGGTGATTCTGAAAGGGGTAGACAAGAGGCAAATTTGTTCATTTCTTCTTTGTTGTGAAGCCACGATTATCTTTTAAGGCTCTCTCAGGATTAACAGCAACTACCTTCTCTTTCCTGAAGCCAAATGCTTCTTCAAGAACACGTGGGGGTCTGGGCCAGCATGTCCCCAGCTGGTTTCACAACTCACCAGGTGTCCCCAACCACCTCCTGGAGTTTCATGAACTAAGCCCACTTTAACCTACACACATTGTGATATCCTATTCTATTACATAAAATGTTTGCAGTGCATAATATTTACATGTTATACAATATACATACCTAATATGTAATATGCTAGATATTATATAACGTTTATAATATATGATATAACATAAGAAAGTGAATATTATATAATGTTTATAATATATGACATAACATAAGAAGGTGATGCTGTGGTCAGGTGCAACAGGCGATTACACAGAAAGAACTTCAGGGAAAGGAGACCCCCTTGGCCTTGTGCTCAAGCCTTGGGCCAGTCCTCAGAGGCTGTGAGTTATCATCTAGCCCTACCACTTAAACCTCGCCTCACCAAGCCTCAGTTTCCAGATCTGTCACATGGGAAACAAGGCCCTCATCATCACATATTGCAGATCCAATGGGCATAGTCACCGCACCAGTGGTACGTCCGGAGAGCACACACAGTGGAAGGCATTGTTTGCCCTGGCTCATCTAAGTCCTTGGTAACTCTAGGAAGGAGGTATTCTATCAGTCCTTGATGTACAAGTGGGGAACCAAGGCTGGGAGAGGTGGAATCTCCTATCCAAAGTCATGGCACTGTGGAGAGAAGGTTCTGAATCTTGAGTCCCCAAAGCCCATGTCCCCTATGTCTGTGTGCACTGCCTTACAAAGTCAGGGGCTGTAAGGCTCTTTATCTGACCTTCCAGTCCAGCAAGAGTCAACTCGCAACACTCAGCCATGCTGCTGTGTCTTTTCCTCCCCATCCACTTCCACCGTCCACCTGAACTGATTTCCCAGCCACACTCTGAAAAGGAGTAGATGTGGGTTACAAGGTACCTTCCATCATTCCAGAGATCAGTTCTGATCATTCCCCGGGCCTCCCAAGAGGAATGTCTGTGCTCTCTGCTCTCATGTCTGACTGGTCCTCAGAATCTAGCAGCCCTTGTAGCTTAGAATAAACCGTGAAAGACTCTGCTCTTTAGCAAATCTTATTTCACTGCACTAGAACCATAAGTCCCATGACCCAGTCCCCTTCACCTTAGTGGCCACAGTATCCCCAGGGTCCAGCACTGTGCCTGGCATGAGGCCAGGAGGTACTAAACATATATGCAGGCTTCGGCACCAGACAGACCTGCAGTAACTGTGCCTGACCACTTACTAATGGTGTGGCCCAGGCAGGTTGCTTCACTCCTCCAAGCCTCAGTTTTTTCATCTGTAAAATGAGGACAATTTTACAGCATAGCATCTGGCTTACTGGGTGTCTGACAGTGTTAAATAGAATGTATAGGGGACTTAGCACAGTACTCAATGAATGATAGCTATCATCATCACCATAACCATGACAATCATCACCATCATGATCCCCAACACCATCACCATCACACATCATCAGCATTACCATCACCATCATCAACATCATCATTATCATCATCACCACCATAATCACCATCACTATCACCATCATGATCACCACCACTATCACCATCATGATCATCATCACCACCACCACCATCATCATCATCACCACCATAATCACCATCATCATCACCACTATCATCACTGTCAACATCACCATCATCATCACCACCATCATTACCATCACCATCATTATCACCATCACCATCATTATCACCATCACCATCATTACCATCACCATCATTATCACCATGACTACCACCATCACCATCATCACCACCATCAACATCATCATCATCACCATCTTCACCATCATCATCACCACGATCATCATCACTATCAACATCACCATCATCATCACCACCATCATTACCATCACCATCACTACCATCACCATTATTATCATTACCATCATTATCATCACCACTTTCTCTGTAGACACTTTGGTGAGACTTACCCTCATGTCAGCCACCAAGGACTCCGTTTAGAGCTAGTTGAGAAGCAACCCTAAAGACTTTTGTAACATAAGTCTCCTCACCATCAGCAGTCTGTTTGGCTTAGCTGGCTCACTCCAGTAATAGCATGGCAAAGGCAGGAAGGCCCAGAGCACGCCCACTGTGCTCTGATCCCTGGGGGTCCTGGCACATAATGTGGAGCAGGTGGGTGGATTTCAGCAACACTACCCTCCCCCATCTCTACAAAGGAGATTCCCAGCTTGGCGGTCCAGTCAGGGTGTGGTGAGAATGACTCAGTCTGTGGCCTTCAAGATCCTCCTCAGGAAGTGAAGAAGTCACTTTGGAGGCTCTCACTCACAAATAGAACATTTTCTTCCCACTCGTGAGATCAGTGTGTACTCAACCAGGATGAGAAGCCATGCCAACAGGTTGTGCCAGGGTGTCAGGAACGTTTAGATTCCTGAATGAGGAAACGAGAAGCAGGGATATGCACACATTTCCAAAGACCCATGGCCGTTGCTGAATGTCTCCATTGCGGTAACAGCTAACAGTTTTCTAATCCCCGAAGAATGTATGTGACGGAGGAGAACCCCTCAACTCACTTCCTTCCCCGCAGAAGCCACCTTCAGCATGGAGCTTATGTCATTCTTGGCTGATGATGTGGCAAGCTTTTATGAGTGATTCCTTCCCAAGAAAATGGTTGTTATACCGGTTTCTTTGACGAGGGCCCCAGGCCAGCTGTGCCAACTGCCATGCTGAGAGTTGAACAACATTTGGTGGTGTACTCAGACCTTGATCTGATCTCTGGTTGACCCGTTTTCTGACATATGTGATGGCTGATGTTTCTTGAGGGTATGATCTGGACCAAGGCCTTGGGTGATGGCTTCATAGGTGGTATTAGGTTTGCTCTCCTTAACAACCTGATAACTTAACATTTTTCAATATCCCATTTGTGGATGAGAAACCAAGGCCAAGAAAGGTCATATAATTTATATGAAGTAATTTCAGCTAAAAAGTAGGAAGGTAGGATTCAGGGCCAGGAAATCTCTTCCCCAGACCCCTATCATTAACCTCCATGATATTTGGTCTCTGCTGGTCACTGGGCTGCCACTTCCACCCCTCCCCTGCTTTGTATCACGGGGAACTACATTTTCCAGGTTCCTGTGTGCTCTGACTTCTGGGCAGGTTCAGCCAGTGGGAGGCACTGGTGGAGGACTTCTGAGAAAAGTATTTCTCCTCTCTCTCTCTCTATCTCTCCACCACCTCCCCACCCCCACCATCTCCCTCTCTCTCTCTACCTCCTTCTGGCTCTAGCTCCCATAGGAATGCCCTTCCCTCCATGGTCCCTATTCCCACTGGACAAGTTGTCAAGGGTCCAGCTTTCACCAGGTGACCCTAGCTCCTGGGTTCCATCACACCATCTCCTCCTTTGTCACTCCAGCTCCAGGAGTGACTTTCTGCTGTGGCTGATCCCTGAGGCGCCTCACCACCTGCAACTTGGCAGCTCCCCTGGGTCCTCACCTGTAAAACCAGCCCCCTATATTAAATCCCTCCATGTAAAATACCTGGTGTGACTTCTGTTTGCAGAGTGGACATGAGCTGATAGATCCTTAGCCTTGGTGGCAGTTGTGAGGAGGGGGAGTGGTAGGGAATGGGGAAATACGGTGAGTGCGAACTCTGTCTCCCTGTCATCACACCCCGTGCCTAACAGACATTATCTCATCTCACTCTCACAATCAAACTTTTAAAGCAGGTGATGTCATTAGCCCCATTTTACAGAGGAGGACCCTCCAGCTTTGTTAGGGTAAATAACTTGCTCATCTAAAAGAGAACAGAGACGGGAGTCAGCCCTTGTTCTGCCGGGGTGCCAAAGGGGAACTCTGGCCCCATCCCCACTGCTGCCCCCACTCCCCACCTGCCCAGCTCCCACTCCCCGGCCGGCCCAGCTCCCACTCCCCGGCCGGCCCAGCTCCCACTTGCTGCACACAGGAGGCCACTGCTTGATGTGAGCTCCTGCCCCTGACAGGGGCCAGCCCCGTGTGGGCCTGTGGAAAGCCCCACTTCATGCTGCCTTCTACCCCTTAGGATTCTGACCTAAGCTCCTGGGCCTCTTGTGGCCACAGGGCATGGCCTGAGCCAGACGCCCTCAGCTGAGAGTGGCTGTGGCAGGCCCAGATTTACGGCTTTGTTATTCCTGTGTTTTGGAGTTTTTACAGCCCCACGCTCCCTCGAGAACCCTGTGCTTGTCTCTAGGACGTATCAGTCAGACGGCGGAGGAAATATCCCAAATGCTGGGAACATCCTGTGTCACGGTGTCTCCCAGGCCCAGGTACCCACGACCTTTTGTTTGCAGCCCGAGGGAGGAGGAGACTGATAAAGAGCAGGCAGGGGCTGGGGGGGGTAGGGGGGAGGCCGGCAGGGGCTGGAGCCACGAGGGGAGGCCCGCAGGGC